TAAATCGCTGTACTGCTATGTCTGTTTAGTTTTTGTCAGTTAGCCTCCCTAGTTTTTTATTTCTCAGTAGATCCAACAATAAAACTAAGTTCAGTCCTGGCTGCATGTGTGCACTTTGGGTCTGAAACTCTGCCTGTCTGAGACATAATTTACAGCAATATATGTTATTGCAGTAGTATTGTTATAATATCGTAACATGGGGTGTCTGTTGATTTCCACCTCTTTTTATATATTTTTATATATACATATAAAAAATTCCCTTCTCACCCTTGTGGGTTGTCTATTATTCAAGCTCTGGTCCTCTACCAGAGCCCTGGGAGCTTGAGGGTCCTGCGCAGTATCTTAGCTGTTCCAAGGACTGCGCTCTTCTGGACAGAGATCTCCGATGTTGTTCTGGGGATCTGCTTGAGTCACTTGCCTAGCTTGGGACTTGCTCCACCTAGTGCTCCCATTACCACTGGGACCACTGTTACCTTCGCCCTCCACATCTTCTCGAGCTCTTCTCTGAGCCCTTGGTATTTCTCTAGCTCCTCGTGTTCCTTCTTCCTGATGTTGCTACATCTATGACTACGGTGTCCGGTTGGTTAGCCACCACCGTTTTGTCCGTCTGTATCTGGAAGTCCCACAGGATCTTAGCTCGGTCATTCTCCACCACCCTTGGGGGCGTCTCCCATTTTGACCTCGGGACTTCAAGGCCATATTCGGCACAGATGTTTCTGTATGAGTGAGTAGCTTGGTGAGTTTGTATCCTCTGCTGCTTCTCTTCACTGTGGGGTCCCACAGGGTTCAGTTTTAGGCTCACTATATCTCCTACCCCTTGGCTCTATTTTCAGGAAACATGGGATTTCTTTCCACTGTTATGCTGATGACTCCCAGATTTATTTTCCACTTAAAAACATAAATGGCTTCTCAGTAGACCCTCTGCTCAGATGCCTTGATGAAATAAGGGCCTGGATGACTTTGAACTTTTTACATTTTAATGAGCAGAAAACAGAAGTGATGGTTTTTGGTGGTGCTTCTGAGACCACTGCTATAAATCTTGGTTCGCTGGCACAGTATGTTGAACCAGTCATCACTAATCTGGGAGTTAAAATGGAGGCAGATCTTAAACTTGAAAGCCAGGTCAGAGCTGTTGTAAGATCTAGCTTTTTTCATTTGAGGCAATTAGCCAAAATAAAGCCCATCTTATCGAAACAGCTTTTTGAGACAGTAATCCATGCCTTTGTTACATGTCGGCTGGATTATGATGGTTAGCATCACTAACCCCACTTTATTGTGGGGTTAGTGATGCATCCATTAGGCGTCTGCAGGTTGTGCAAAATGCTGCAGCACGTCTTTTAACTGGAACAAGCAAGTCTGAGCACATTATCCCCATTTTAGTTTCACTCCATAGGCTACCTGTACATTTAGGATGTAGTCACTGTCCAGGCAGTCAGTTTGAGCCATCTTCCTAATGTAGTTCGTTGTCTAATCCTGGACTGTGGTGCTGACACTCACCAGTCTCTGACCTCCTTCCTTCCACTTACCATACAGCCTAAGGGTGCTGGACTTGGGGTGAAACCCTCCACGCATGGTCAGGAGCTTCCTGATCTTAATGATAGGCTTCTAACCTCCGTTCTTACCTAACGGCCTCTTCAGGTACTTGTAGCTGTCCTTTATGTCTGCATTGTTGCTTTCTGGTAGTTCGATCCCTTCAGTTCTGACTACCTTCCCTCTCTTTGTTATCATCCGACTACACTTTTCCAGCCCGAACAACATTCCGATGTCATTGCTGTATATCCTGGTGGTTTGGATCAGTAAATCGATGTCTCGGTCACTCTTGGCATTAGCTTGATGTTATCCATGTAGAGGAGGTGGCTGACAACTGCTCCATTCCATAGTCAGTATCCATAGCCAGTCTTATCAATGATCTCACTGAGGGGTTCAGAACAGTAGTGAGGACAGAGCATCTCCTTGGTAGATCCACTTGATGATGGCTTGTTCTGTGGGCTTGAAGTTGGACTCTAGCATTGTCTGCCACATCCCCATTAAGTTCCTGATGAAGGCCCTTAGGGTCATGTTGATCTTGTACAGTTCTAAGCATTCCAGGATCCAGGTGTGGGGCATCAAGTCATGGGCCTTCTTGTAATCAATTCGGCAGTGCACAGGTTGGTCAGCCTAGTCCACCAACCCAGCTGGTGTCTTGCGCCTCTGGTATTCTTGCCAATTCCTTTCTGAGCCCCACTCATGTATTGACCCATGTGCCTGTTCATCTTAGCCACTATGATGCCTGACAGGAGCTTACATGTGGTACTGAGGAGGTTATTGGCCAGTAGTTGGACGTCACCGATACCATCTGGGAGCTCTTGAGGATCAGAACTGTCCGGCCTTCAGTTAGCCATTCTGGGTGTCTCTCATTGACTAGAAGCTGGTTCATCTCCACTGCCAGATGCTCATGTAGTGCAGTCAACTTCTTCAGCCAGTAGGCGTGAACCATGTCAGGGCCTGGTGCTGTCCAATTCTTCATACTGGCGACCTTTGCTGTGGTCTGTTCTTAGATCTACTAGCCAATGAGCATTGCTGTTTTGGGTTGTGTGCTTCTCCCATATGCTCTTATAATATTGCTCTGTCTTCCAGCCTTGGTGATGCTATTCTTACGATAGGACACAGTTGTCCCCTTTGGAACTTCACGTTGGGGGTTCAACGTGAAGGCGTGGATCCAGTAAGGGTCAGCAGGCTAGGATATCTCGGAATATTTCTGATATATTTAACTGAAGCCATAACTGTTATGGCTGTTAACTGAAGCCATAACAGCTTGACTTCACCGGGTCAGGTGTTGAGGAACCTGGACTGTCAGGAGTAATGAGAAATGGACCAAGATAGTAGATAGTTGTTAACGAATAAGTTCAGCTGGTTTGGTGAGTGACGGAGAGAAGTGACTGACCATTGAGAGCATTTACAGCTACCAGAACCTCACAAGTTGTTGCACCAAATCTCTGTCAATCAGACTCTGCTCGGCACCTGCCTTCAAAAGCACTTGTAATGAATAGGTCCTGGTCTTGCCACACAGGGTGGTAGGGAGTTGCATACGGGGACCCTCGGCATCTGGAGAGGCACTGCCCACTTAGTATCCCCACAGTTACTGGTAGGCACTGTCTTTTGGCCAGACAGGGCAAGAGGCCAGAAAATGGCCCAACAAACCGCAATACATACACAACCGCTCCTCGAACCTCCTCCAGCATTTCTCTGATGTCAACTTTGTGCGTCCCAGTTGCATTGGCTCAGAGGGAGGCAAAGCAAATGCCAACAAGGAAGACTGGGGTCCTTGAGGATCAGGACTGTTCAGCCTTCAGTTAGCCATTCTGGGTGTCTCTCATCGACTAGCAGCTGTTTTATCTGTGCTGTCAGACACTCAGGAGTTAGTCAGAAAGGTCCGAGGAGCAAAACGAGTGGAGAAGTGCCCACCTCGGTCTTGTAACCTCTAACCCCCTTCTCTCTCTTTCATGCAACCGATTGTCAATCCTGATTGCAAAATCTGCTAGGCTTTCAGAACACCTGGGTTCATCCCGTGCAGCGAGCTCATCCTTTTAAAGGGGAGCACAAAGCGTTTTCTTACCCTCCTGTCTCTGTGCCCTTAACACAAAAATTAATGGATAACTCGGCTACAGACCGGGTACTGTCAAAGGCCGAGCAACTGATGGGCTGCTTCATCTGTGCACAAAGGATGGTGGAATAAAACCTTAAAATCTTGGAGGAACTGTGCATAAGTAAGTGTTTCTAAAGAATGTCACCAGGAGGTAAGATCTGACCCATTACAAGTCAGGGTCCTGAAAGGAACCAACAATTATTTATTCCCTTGAAATAACATTAGGAAAGGCCCTGGGAGAGTGCTGGAATAGCAGAACAGAATGAAGAAGAAGCCTCTGCACTGGCCCACCTCCCCTGTAAATGGTTCAGGAGAGGGGAGCGCAGAGAAGCGGAAGCTAAGAGTGTGGGTGCACTAGCCAGGGACAGGGTTGCAGGAGCAACTCGTTGCAAAAAGGTTTCTCGGATGGTCAACAGGGTGTTGTTCACCCTGCCTGCCTATTGCTCGGACTCACAGAACTGTCTAACTAGACTAGATGCCTTTGGGCAGCTTTCTGTACTGGCTTTCTTCTTCGGCGCCTTCCTAATTGCACCTTTTTTGCGGCTTCAATAGTTGGCTATCCTCCCTCTGTGCTACCTTGACCTTGGCCTTTAGTCTCCTTCTCCATGGAGGGTACTGCTCCTTGTGGCCATTCAACTTGTAGCCAAGATTCTCACTGTTCATTGCTGCCGTGGTGTAGATCAGCTTGTTAGTTTCGGTAACCGGCTATGGAGAATCCAGGTTTCAAGCTTCGCCATGATCCTGTCTTTCACTCAACAATCCTTCTTCTATCGCACATGGGCTCGGTACCCAATCTCAGGTGGGGGTAATGGTATCTCCCCCCTGACCTGTCGTCCTGGCTCCCCTTTGTTATACCATGTGTGTTGTGCCTCTTCAATTTCTAGCCATGAGAGCGGTCCCTTCTTCCGAATGTTGGAACATTGAGCTACTAGTTGTTTTGCCATCAATGTGGATGCTGGGTACTGAAGATTCCATAAGAATCTTAATCATATTTGTGTAACCCCTTCCACTGGGGTTACTTGTGTAGAGCATTCCAACACTGCACTATTTTTGTCTCTTGCCCACCGATGCCTTCTTGTTCCTGTAGCCCACTTCTCATCTGGGTGCCCTGGTTTCTTAACACCTGGTGCGGACCTTGTTAATCCGGGCGATGTCCGAGCCAGTATGGCTTCATATTTATCTCCCTCGCTCATGTCTGCGGTAGGCTTGGTTAGCATGGGGGTCTAGCCTAGGACTCTTATTGGATACAGACGCTCCAGGCGGAAATCGAACTTGCGACTCCTGTTCCAAAGCTGTGCAGTCTTACCATTATACTTATAATCTTCACTAAAGCTGCTTCTTAATTAATGCTTATTTAAATAATTAGTTACTGCTAAACG